TTTTTTCCTCTTCTATAAAAAGGGTTGTGATATTGGATAATTTTACTTTGAATGGTATTTTGTCACTTTGTATGGTTAAAAATAGATTGTTTAATGAAAAATAGATAAAAGCAAAGTGGTAGCGAGAAGAAATGCAAGCTCTAGTTATGGAGAACGAAGGAAGAGTATAAATACAAAATTTAGTAAACATGGTAAATTCGAAGGCAAATCATGGTCTAGCGGTGGTTTTAAACGTTATTACTATGAAAGAAAATTTTGCGTCAAGAAATTATAAGACATAAAAGAAAGAATAAAAAGAATTGAAGAATTGGGTTTAATACAATGAGAACACTACTGCAGTATTGAACTTCAAATTGGAATATAGCAATGCTCTTATATAGAAAAAAATAAGTGAATGTAAAAGATCTTTATGTTGAATAAGGCGTTAACTCCACGATCGCATATCCATCTATTTTTAAAAATAAATAAATAAATTCTTGCAAAGAATAAGACTTTGGCATAGCAAAGATAGATAATAATAGTTATACTAGTGTTCTAAAAGTTGGTGATGTCCGTACAAAGGCATACATGTTGTCTATTGATTTTGAAGGATGTGATGATGTACTAAATTTACATCTAAATCTAATTTCTACTCATGCTTAGGACATTGTTGAATACTTTAATTATTTTAGTGGCGAAAGATGAAAACTCACAAAGCGATCAATGGTTGTCTCTAGAGGTAATACATGTGATAAATTGTACATGAAAAAAGTATAGTTGATCGGACATTAGAAAAATACAATTAGATATCGCACTTCTTTAAAATTATAGCATAGATGACAAGCTCGAGTGAATGAAAAAGCATTAGAAAAGAAGTCTTATATTACTTTTTTCAAGGAGATTGGCATATGCAAAGAAGTATTGAATGAAAAATGTAGAATTAATGTTGAGCCAACAATTGGTAATGATAATAACATAGATATAGAAAGTGTTTAGCATGGAGAATAAGATCTTCCACTTCGAATAAATGCTATAGGTGAGTAAGTTTAATGGTCAATATCAATTTTTTTTTTACCAAGAATTCTAATTCTAAAATGTCTTATTAATGAAACACGAAAAGATAAATAATTTTCATAATATTCTAACTTATGATAAGAGTTAGAATCAAAATTTAATGACTCGGCAATGTTATTTGCTTTATGAGAGAATGAAAAATTAATTGATGATGCCGAGAACGATTCTTCAAGATAAAGATCTTACCGATATATAGAAAAAATTAACAAGTACATTTGAAAAATAGATTGTTTGCTCGTATTATCGGCACTAAATCTAGATAATGAGTTCGCATTTTTTTACAAGAAGAGGTTTGGTAGGTATATGTTATAACTCCAACCTATAAGTGACTTTAGTATAACCCATTAAAAAATTAAATAGGAAAAAAACTATTGTAAAACTAAAAAATGAAAAGAAAAAAATTCTTAGTTTTTTTTAGCCGAGCCATACATCTAAAAAAGAAAGTTTTAGTCTTCTAGTACAGCTTATCGAGAGATATCAAATTGAGAAAAAAGAAAGTAATTGTTTTTTTTTATATACTAAAAATGTCCGACCAATCTTGAATTTTAAGTGATTTGAGATTGAGTTTCTAAATTTTTTTATTGGTTTTAGAATCCTTGAATTTTTATTTTTTTGAGATCTAGTTTATCTAATGATTTTCAACTATCATCTTCCCTTCTAAAAAAAATTCAATTCTTGGTATTTTAAACTAAAATTTTGCACATTTGATGGACCAAATTCAATTTATTTTATAAATTATTCCACAATTTTTCAAAATCGAGAACTATATTTGTTTATTTTTTGAATATTAAATATAAAAATATAAAAAATAACTTCAAAATGATCTCAAATTTTTTTGAGAAGCCTCGCATAAATCTTACCGATTTATTTCCATCATAAAACTCGTTCATGTAATTGTTAATTTTTTAAAAATAAATTATAAAAACCTAAAAGATAAGGTACACCTAAAAAAAGTTTAAGGATTTAAAAAACTAATAAAAAAATTTAGGAACTAAACCTCAACCAACTTAAAGTTCAATGGTGGTTAAATCTTTTTAGCCTTTTTTTTTTTTTTGGTCGAATTTTATAGAAAGGAAGTAATGATTTTTTGTATATAAAATATTGAGGTTTTCTCTAATGTTGATTTTTAAGTGTTACAGATCATTGAAAATTATAATGTTCAAAGTGATGATCTCATACAATATTGAACTTTACGTAAATACAAATATTTTGTAGATTCTAAATTTTTGTAGTAAGACGTATTTAACTAAATCGGTAACTTGCATTATTGTCAATATTTTTGCTATTAAAGTTCATAAATAAACTTGAGTGATTGTATTGTTTTCTTGATTATAGTTGAATATTTCAAATTTGATCCCGTGATTTTTTTCTACACGATAAAGAGAGTTTTTCATATAAATTTGACGTTTTTATAGTTGTGCTCTTGTGATTGATTTATTTTATATTTTTAATTATTGTGTGTATTTGGTTTGATTATTTTCTCATAAATCTAATTTATACAAAGGAGATTAAGTTCCCAACAATTTATTGATTTAGAGTTTTTCCTTATCAAAGCTACACAAAATAAATAGAATCCGAAAAGAGTTTTATATATTATAAATAAAACTAAAAGGATTTGAGAAAACACTTTCCAAATCGCTATTCTTTCACTATTTTCTTAAACACTCATTTGCATTGTTTGCTTACATGTAATTGCACCGTGTATTTTACTCGTTTAAAATGAAGTTTTCCAAAAATTTTGCACTTTGGTTGTTTTTTTCACAAAAAAATTATTTCGATTTCGAGCTTCATTTGTGTTGTATTTTTGGTCACCGATAGTTTGGAGGAGATAGAGACAAAGAGAGAGGGATGACGAGGCTTTTTTTGGCCACCTCGATCGTCGAGCTCACTATCATTTTGTACATCATGAAGAGTAGATTCCGTTTATGGTGGGCACAAGTCGTGAAATGATTGAAAAAGGTAGAATGAAAACTAAAAACATTTTGAGTTTTTTTTATTTTGATTTGAACTTTTTATGTGTTTTGTGTGTATTAAAATGAGTTTTGAGACTTTAAATGAGTTTGTTAATGTTATTTCTATAATTTGAGGTATTTTTAGATAAAAATTGGACTGAATTTGAATTTGAGGAGGTTGAAAGTTAAGAATCTATTTTCAGCAATTTTTTCAATGAACCGCACTTCAACAAAATTGCTACGTCCGGTTTCTTTCTTTTTTTGGCGAGTCTAGCTTGCTTGAGCTTGGAAACAAACCCAAACGCACGTGCAAGCTTGTTCTCTGCCTAGTATTTTTTTTTAATGGATTTTTGAGAAAAAATTATGAAATATCGAATATATATATTCTCATGTAGTCTGATAATGACGAAGTATATATGATATGTTTCAGATAATTTATTTGAACTTTTTTTGGTGTTTGTGGCTTTATGTTGCTCACTCTTAATCCACTAAATATAATTATGATGATAGAAAAAAAATTAAATCATCAATTTTATTGAAAATTCATTATATATCTACACAAATAATATCAAGCATTTGTTATTATTTTTTTAATGTTATAAAATCAATTTCTTTGAAATAAAATGTTTGAAATATTTTTTTTGAAAAAAAGAATCACTAAATCATTCAAATATAATATAATTATGATGCATATAAAAAAAATTAAATCATTGATTTTATGGAAAATTCATTATGCATTTATACAAATAACACCAAGCATATGTTATTTTTTTAATATTATAAAAAATTAATTTTTTTGAAATAAAATGATTGAAATATTTTTTTTAAAGAATCATTCAATCATCCAAATATAGTTTTTTTTATGCTAACATTGTTGATTATTTTGTAAATAAATATATATAAATTAAATGTCTATATTTTCAAAAATAATCTTCTCATTGACATTGGATAAGAATAAAAATTTAATTTTTTTTTTGTTAATTTTTATACAAGTATGCATATTAATTGTATTTTTATTTTTTTGGATACAAGCTTATGAAATATATATATATATATATATATATATATATATATATATATATATATATATATATTGAATTTGGATTAATATTTAAATTTAAAACCATTATAACTTTTTATGTAAGAATTAATGCATAAAGAAGTCTGAATAATGTTTTGTGAAATAGAAAAAAAAAAGAAACAGAAAAACCAATTAATACAAAATTTTAATTAGAAAGTAAAAATTTTCTGAAATAATTTTTGTTATATAAGACCGGGAGCGACTTTTATCATTTAAAGATTTTCAATAATCTACTATACAATATAATCATTTTATCCAATCGATCATATAGAGAGTCCTGATTCGATCGCCCTGTATACCCTGGTAGTAGATCTTCAGCGTCCTAGGTACGGTCAATCCTTGGGTGTTTCGAGCTTGATCCCACCGTAACAGACTCAATCTTTGCTGCACCCAACTCCTAGGGTATCGGAAGTCGGAACCTGTCTTGACCGAATACTCGAGCATCCTAACTCCATCCTACTACAACACATGCCCGCTCAAGCTTTTGTGTGCTAAACTAACGAGTCAATTCAACTCGTAGACAACCTGGACCCGGAACCAGTCTTTGTGAAAACCCAGAGTGTCTTGAAACCAATCCAATCTCGCCCCAACAACTTAGTCCTAACTCAACTACTAACATCTCGAAGCTGGCTTGACTTATGAATTATATAATGAAATCGTAGAAACTAAATTTTTTGCTTTGTAAAAATTTTGAGAATTATTTGCAAATTTTTATTTTGAAAATTCAGTAATCGAAAACTTTGTCAAACACCGATCGTTTATCTAAACAGAAAGAATTCTAAAAATAAAGAGGGAAACCTTGAAACTAGAAAATATATTAGATTTAAAGCGTACGAGCACACATCCCCCCTTTCCCTTCCAACCAATATTAGAACTGCCTATTTGAGAAAAATTTCCCATAAAACCTGCCCAAAATGTCAACATTAAATTCTGGTTTGTATAAACATTAATATGTTACACTTATTATGGTCAAAATAAGTTAATTACTGTCACAAGAAGTTAAATTGCTAGATTATATTGTTTGAAAAGCCAAAAAAAAAAAAAAAAAAAACCACATAGTAGTATTAAATGGTATTAAATGGCACAGAGGAAATGGGTTCACAAGTTTCTCCACATCCTTTTTTTGTTTTTTCCAAAAAATCGAAGTAAAAGATCTTGCATCCATTGTCGAAAAAGGGAAAAAAGAAAAGAGCTGTAGTATCTTGTTTTTGGACAAAAGAATGGCATAAAAACTGAAAGTAAAGATACACATATTACCACCATTAATAACCCCGTAAAGGAAAGTAAAGATTGTTGAGATATTTTTAACCGAATTTACCTGCACTTGCCCTCTTTTACTCCCTTTTATTGCCTAAAACATATATATGCAAAACCGAAAAAAAAAAAAAAAAGGGAAAACCGAATCTAAATAAGCTGACGTGTAAGTCATGGATTCCTGTTTAGAGACACGAGACGAGCAAAAACCAAACATCATTATCTTCTTTCTTCCTACCAATTTCCCTACATCAGTCGGTTATCACTTGGTCAATTACCCATAATTGTAGGACATATAATATGTAATATTCTGAAAAAAAAACCAAAACTGTTTTCCTTTTCTTTGCTTTTCGCCCTTTCTTTGTAGGATTCAAAAACCCAATAAAAGAAACACAACACAAGTTTTATTTTTAAATATATATATATATATATATATATATATATAAATATCTCCCTGTATTTAATCAACTCCTTTGTTGATAGCTGATACTCATTCACTCCACATTAGAACAAAACCCTAAGGGTTCTTGTAAGAACCAATCGCCGCCAGATTGATCTCACCCCTCAATAAAACCCTCTTCCTCGCTGTTCTTCCTGTTTCTTCAAGAAAAAAATTGCTTTCCTTTATTTATCTCTTTCTCTCTTACACACAATTTTTGTTGCATGAAAACATGGTGCACAAAGTTGTGTTCTTTGTTTCATAATATTGATTTACAGGACAGGAGAGGAAAAACCCATCTGGTTTATTCCTTTTCTATGCAAGAAAATGGAACTTTTTGCTGTTAGGATTGGGTAATTGTATTCATCCTTTAGGAGGTGTAAAAATTTTGATCCTTTTCTGGTTAGAAAGTTACCATCTCGAAGCTGGAAGTAGGGTTTTGGCTATTTCAAACGCAGACAAGTTCTAATTTTGGATACTCTTTAGGGTTTAGGTTGTGATTATAAGTAGTGGTTGTTGATCACTTTTTGAGTTGTTATAGTGGGTGATGATCAAATTGGGGTTTTGAATATGTTATCTGAATTGGGAAGGAGGCCGATGATAGGAACCAATGATGGATCATTTGGTGATGATTTAGATAACGAGATAGGGTTGTTGTTGCGGGAGCAACGTAGACAAGAGGCTGATGATCGTGAGAGAGAGCTTAATTTGTACAGGAGTGGCTCTGCGCCTCCAACTGTGGAGGGTTCATTAAATGCAGTCGGGGGCTTGTTTGGCGGTGGAGGCAATGGTGGTGCCTCCTTCTCAGATTTTGCTAGTGGAAAAAATGGGAATGGTTACAACATACCCGAGAAGGAGCTTAGGTCTGATCCAGCTTACCTTACTTACTACTATTCGAATGTGAATTTGAACCCTAGGCTTCCGCCTCCTTTGCTGTCTAAGGAGGATTGGAGGTCCTCGCAGAGGTTGAAGGGTGGAAGTTCGGTTTTAGGTGGGATTGGAGATAGGAGGAAAACTAGTAGAGCTGATGATGGTAATGGTAGATCAATGTTTTCAATGCCACCGGGGTTTGAATCTAGGAAACAAGACAGTGAGGTTGAGTCAGAAAATATTTCTGGCTCCACCGAATGGGGTGGTGATGGGCTGATTGGTTTACCAGGATTTGGACTTGCCAGCAAACAGAAGAGCCTTGCTGAAATCTTTCAGGTCTATTTCTACGGTTTTGCTCAATTCATGTTTCTGTCTATTTGTGAATTTCTGTCTTTTGTGTGTTGTCTCTCTCTCTCTCTCTCTCTCTTTTTCCCTTTATGGCATCAAGAATATCATTGGATTATTTTCCTTGAATTTTCTGATGTGGTATCTAGTATTTCCTGTTAAGGCTTGACACACAATATGATTTGTGCATGTAAGAAATAAATAAGTGTTTGATGTCCTTTTCTTATGGCCTACTTTTAATGTTATCTGAAATCAAGGTTTTTCTTGGGCTATTTTATTTGTGTATTATTCTCTTTGGATTGCGACCATTTTGTATTCAGTTTGTTGGTGTACAAATGGTATGGGAGGTGTATTAAGAATCTGGTTATGACAAATTGATACAACAAGTAGTTATTTTTATTCTCAAATACATTGAAGTAATCGATGAGCTGCTTAGCATGTTTAGTTTAACTTGTGAAATCTGAGGAGCTTTTTTTGTTGTAATGTTGGATTTAGTTATGTCTGTGGATGTTCAGAGATCATTATGAGGTCTATGCAAGACATACACTTTGAACTCGAGCTTTGAATTGTGATCCAATTTCAAGTGTATCATATATGCCCTAAAAGTAGTCTCCTTTAGACTGTTCACTCCATTGTTGTTCTTATGATTCGGTGTCTTGTATCCATGCAGGATGACTTGGGGCGTGCAACTCCTGTGACAGGGCCCCCATCTCGCCCAGCTAGCCGCAATGCGTTTAATGAAAATGTTGAGACCATAGGTTCAGCTGAAGCAGAGTTGGCTCATTTACGCCGTGAATTATCATCTGCAGATGCTTTACGGTCTGGTGCAAGTGGCCAGGGCTCAGCTTCTGTCCAAAATATTGGCCAATCTTCTTCTTATAGTTATGCTGCTGCTCTTGGTTCCTCCTTGTCTAGGAGTACCACTCCTGATCCCCAACATATTGCCAGGGTTCCTAGTCCTTGTCCTACACCCATTGGACAAGGGAGAGTTACAACAAGTGAAAAGAGAGGCACTGCTAGTTCAAACACATTCAATGGTGTCTCATCTGGTATCAAGGAGCCTGCAGAGTTGGTTGCTGCCTTTTCTGGCATGAACTTGTCAACAAATGGTGTAATAGATGAAGAAAGCCATTTGCCATCACAGGCTGAACAGGATGTTGGCAACCACCGGAATTATCTCTTTGGTCTCCAAGGTGGTCAGAATCACCTGAAGCAAAATAGTTACTTAAAGAAGTCTGAATCTGGGCATTTACATATGTCTTCTGTTTCTCAATCTGCCAAATTGTCATATTCTGATTTGGCTAAGAGTAATGGTGGTGGATCAGACCTCAACAGCTCATCCTTGATGGCTGAGAGGCAGGTTGAACTGCAAAAATCAGCTGTTCCTGCCGGCAATCCTTACATGAAAGGATCGCCTACCTCTACTCTTGGTGGTGGAGGTGGCTTACCTCCGCAGTATCAGCATCTAGATGGTATGAATTCATCACTTCCAAACTATGGATTGAGTGGGTATTCCATAAATCCAGCATTGGCTTCCATGATTGCCAACCAGCTTGGTACTGGTAACCTGCCACCATTATTTGAAAATGTTGCCGCAGCATCTGCAATGACCATCCCTGGAATGGACTCAAGAATGCTAGGAGGAGGTTTGGGATCTGGAGCAAATCTAACAGCTGGTTCATTGGAATCTCATAATCTTGGGAGAGGTGGGAGTCCCATAGCAGGAAGTGCTCTTCAGGCACCTTTTGTTGATCCAATGTATCTCCAGTACTTGAGGGCTCCTGAGTATGCTGCTACCCAGCTTGCTGCTATTAATGACCCCTCAGTAGATAGGAACTACTTAGGTAATTCTATAGGTAATTCATACTTGAATTACCTTGAAATTCAAAAGGCTTATGGTCTTTTATCATCTCAGAAATCACAGTATGGAGTTCCATTAGGTGGTAAATCTGGAAGTTCTAATCATCATGGTTATTTTGGGAATCCTGCCTTTGGTGTTGGTATGTCATATCCTGGAAGTCCCCTGGCAAGCCCTGTCATTCCGAACTCCCCTGTTGGACCTGGCAGTCCCATAAGACACAATGAGCTTAATATGCGTTTTCCTTCTGGAATGAGGAACTTGGCTGGGGGCATCATGGGACCCTGGCACTTGGATGCAGGATGTAACATGGATGAAAGCTTTGCATCATCTCTACTGGAGGAGTTTAAGAGCAATAAAGCCAAGTGTCTTGAACTTTCAGAAATTGCTGGTCATGTTGTGGAGTTCAGGTATTTATTGCACATCATCTTATGTTCATTCATTATCTCATATTGTTTTGATTTAATTCAATGATTTGTAATCTCTTACGAGCAGTGCGGATCAGTATGGGAGCCGATTCATCCAACAAAAACTTGAGACTGCCACGACGGATGAAAAAAATATGGTTTATCAGGAAATCATGCCCCAGGCTCTTGCTTTGATGACTGACGTGTTTGGTAATTATGTAATTCAGAAGGTAATATCTATGCTTTTTCACTATAAACTTTGTTATGTTTTTATGAATTCTGCTTACGAAAGTAACTCTGTATTTGTATATAGTTTTTTGAGCATGGGCTTCAATCACAGAGAAGAGAATTGGCTGGCAAGCTTTTTGGTCATGTTTTGACACTCAGCCTTCAAATGTATGGCTGCCGAGTGATACAGAAGGTACCATTAGTTTTGCTACCATATTGCAATTTAATGTTGCATGATACACCCTGTTACATCTTCATCTGATGATTATGGTACAATGTTGCTAGAAAGTATACCTACTGAGGAAAAATGTTTACTTCTGGTTCATTTAAAAAAACTTTTTGGTCAAAGGACTCAAAGAATCCATACTTGTTAGGGTTATGGACACCAATTTGCTTGCATAATGAAGTGTCCTGTATTTGTGCCTTGGTACCAACAAAGTTAGCTATTCTGGAGGGCCAGCACTGCTTATGTATTTGTCTCTTGCGTTGATCATTATAACATAGCAGTGAGTAATTTTCCTTGATTCTGCACGAATTTATAGAGATCCCTGAAAATTTTCACCAATCAAACTGATACCAATATGATTATCAAGTGCACCTACTGAAGTTGTCGGTAGTAACATGTTCTTATCTTATATTGTTCAGGCCATCGAGGTTGTTGATCTAGACCAGAAAATAAAAATGGTTGAAGAGCTTGATGGTCATGTAATGAGGTGTGTGCGTGACCAGAATGGGAACCATGTTATACAAAAGTGTATTGAGTGTGTTCCTGAAGATAATATTCAGTTTATTGTCTCAACATTTTTTGATCAAGTTGTGACTCTCTCCACCCATCCGTACGGGTGTCGTGTGATACAGGTTTGAAATGGTTTCTTGTTATTTCAATTCTATGTGGATCTTTCTAGAAGAAAAGAAAATAACATAACTATTTCTTTAATTTGCAGAGGATACTGGAACACTGCAAGGATGCACAGACACAGAGTAAAGTTATGGATGAGATTTTAGGATCTGTTAGTATGTTGGCACAAGATCAATATGGAAATTATGTGGTTCAGGTTGGTTTTTCCTTTGGATGCATATGTGCTGCTACCATCTGATCAAGTGCTATAGCTTCCGTGTCATGTAGATACTGGATATAGCTGTGAAGTCCTCTGCTTTTTTATAAAAGAGTTGGTCTTGATATTTGTTTTACAATTTATAAAAAGTGGTCCAGGTATTCTTGAGATGACAGGAAGGAAGTGTTTGCAGTGTTTAGTTTTAGTGTATATTTGATATACCTGGCTGAATCTCCAGCTCTATTGCCTTAATGTCTCATCCTTTATCTCTTTCAGTACTTTAGGAACCTTCATTCTTGCTATGGAAGCTCTATTATGTGAATGATTTTCTTGTCATTATCCCCTTTAAGATGTGGTTCTATTATAGCTGTGCTTACTTCATTCAGTAATTAGATAAATACGAGTCATAAATAGATTGCAATCCACTGCTTCTCTTATTTCTCTTTCGGAAGAGTTATGTGCACCTGTGTATTTGTTTGAACTGGTAACCAATAACATTTGAGTGATACTTATGCAAGCATATAAATAACATTTAATGATCCATATGCATGCATACTAATAATATTTAAAAAATAGATTGCTTCTTATGGAATCAAATATTGCGAATAAACATTCATTTCTGAGATACAGATGCCTTCATTTCATTTGTTATTGTTTAATTTGGCAGTCAGAATTCCTTCTTCCATTGCCACTTGTTAGACATGCTGTGCGTTTTTAGAAATTGTGCTTCCCAAAGATTGTTAAATAACTCGTTGTGGTGTCTCTTAGTTTTAATCTTTACTTATTTGCTTTGAGTGCTGGCTTCTGTTTTTACAGCATGTACTGGAACATGGAAAATCTCATGAACGATCTGCTATCATCAAAGAGTTAGCTGGGAGGATTGTTCAGATGAGTCAACAGAAGTTTGCCTCCAATGTTGTAGAGAAGTGTTTAACTTTTAGTGGTCCTTCTGAACGCCAGCTACTGGTCAATGAAATGCTTGGCACTACAGATGAAAATGAGCCTCTTCAGGTTTGGAACTTTCTGTGCACTTTTGCATACTGGAATTGAAGAACTTTCTAATTGTCAACAATCAATGTGTGTGTGGGGGTGGAGTCTGCGTGTTCCAAATTTTGGATAAACCTGTATCGTGATTAAACATAATCATTTCCCAAGTTCTTCTGCTAATGTTTCCCCTCATTTGTCCAGGCAATGATGAAAGACCAGTTTGCAAACTATGTTGTACAGAAAGTTCTGGAGACATGTGATGACCAGCAGCGTGAGCTGATCCTTACAAGAATAAAAGTTCATTTAAATGCTTTGAAAAAGTACACCTATGGAAAGCATATTGTTGCACGTGTAGAGAAACTTGTTGCTGCTGGGGGTAAGCATTATTTTCATGCTTTATGATTTAACAAAGCTTGATTTGTGAATATGATTGCTTGTAAATGAAGTAGATAACACTAGTACCTTGTCTCCTTTGTTGGGGACCTTACGTGGTGCATACTAGTAGAATTTCTAACTGTTGTCATTCAGAACCTTTGTGAATGCTTTGGTAGAACATTGGGTTTTGAAAGAGGAAAGGTTAATGTGTTGAACTAGCTGCTCCATATGGTTTGAAGAAATGCGCTATCTGCCCATGTCATTTGCATCTTCAGCCTGTTTAATAGCATAATTGATCACCTGGAATTTGTCATTGCATCTTAAAGTTATCTGCCAATGTTTTGTTCATAAATTTCACCGAACCAACAATTGATGAGTTACTTCCCATTATTATGGGTTTGCATACATTCACATCTACATATTAACATATATTTTGCTTTTTAAAGTTGTGGTACTCGTCTTGTGGTTTACATTCTTTAATCCACTTTCAAAAAATGAGTGTATCGTTGAACGTTTCATGAATGCACTGTTGATTGGCAATATAAATGTAGAACTGAGACATGTTTTATGTAAACAAATTATGTATTCATTACCATTATTTATGTTGATGGAAACAAAATTGATTTAGTGTGTGCAAGATGAAAGCAGTAATGCTTTATAGCTATCTTGTTCTGACAATATCGTATGCGCCATATTGCCCATGTGGGTAGTGAGACCATACAATTCCTTCCATGTCAACAAGCTCTCATTAAATCTTAAATTGCATGCAGAAAGGAGAATTGCTGCGCAGTCCCTGCACCCTGCTGCTTAGTTGTGGTAGGAAAGAAAGTTGTTTGTACAGCTAACCGAGGCTAGTGTGAGCTTCCTCTCTTTCTTCCTTCCTGTCGTAGATGCTATGTCTCTACCTATCTTTTCAGACAGGTATGAGCTGTTTGAAAATAAAGTTGTTGCTTGTACCGGAAACTGTACATTCTGTAGTTTAAGGTTTATACATAGGGTTGAGCAAGCTGAGGTTCAGATGTTTAAGTACAACCTGATGCCACCTGCAGAGGAGATAAATGACATACGAGTTTTTAAGGGTGTAAAAATGTGGAGGTAGTCTAAACGTGATATGTACAAATGTTGCTATGTGGAGAGCTGTTAATGTTTAGGTGAGGCCAGAGTTTTCTTCCATGTATCCGGATTTTACCTTTTTTCTCTCTTAAAAGTACATTTTACTTCCGTTGTTCAAGGTGGTTTATGTTTGTGTATGCGTGATTACCACATCTATTATCTAGTCATGATGCTGCTGCTTTCTCTTGCCCCGCCACTTCTTTTGCTAGGGAAGTATTTCAATTGTGATTTCTTGTCTTTTATTGGTCTTCTGCACTCCTCTTTTGGGTTGATCAACTTTTTAGGAAGGGATGACAAATTTTCTTCGTCTTTTAAAGTAACGTGATTTTCTAATTTTTTAATAATAGTAATCATACATACATAAAAAAAAAAAGGCATTTTCTTGGCAAAACGAATATGAACAGGCCTATGGACTTATTCATTCTCTTCATTTTACATCATTGCTTCCTATTTTATTGGGATCTTTTATATTCTCTCTCTACTGGCAATATTATTTTGAAAGGGTTGGAGAGATGTTCCCGTGTCATAAAGCGTTACTTAATCCGGTTTCAATCTTCTAAGTTTCCAGACAAACAAGGAGAGACGTGTACCATTGTATTTGTGGGTGATAACTCTCAACTTAAATTTTGTTGGTCTGAAACCTGCAATGTGAGTGAATTTATGTAACACTGCAAAACCTCATGTTGGCTTTAGTTGCCAGTTTGTGGAATTCAAGCTTTGAATCCTGTGAGCTTTGTGATGTGCTGCAGCTTTGCTGAATTTGCGAAGAACCTAACAGCTCATTCTATTCACCTATGGTATCTGATAGTGCACTGTTCATAAAAAGGTCGTAATCGAATTTCAAAGAAATTAAGGGGCAGGACTAGTGACCAATACCATGTCAATTTGCAATTTCCAGTCCTTCCGAGTTATATGCCAGGGAATCAGTGCTCTCTAAACGATGGTAATATAGAATCAAATTCTCGTCACAGATGAAGGGCAGGCAACCGACATGTACAACAATGTTGCCATGCATAGAAAAAATCAAGAAAGGCTCACATATCTTCACTGTTACAAAATCAGAGTTACAAAAGACTACTCAAGCTTACTTGGTTACATCTACATATGCTAATCGTCAATTTCATCATCCTCATCGATCTTCTGCCCAAAGCCTCTTGGCCCAGACCTTGCTCTCTCCTTTCTCTTCTTCCCTCCCTTCTTCTTCTTAGAATCCTGTTCCTTCTGAAGCTTCTCTGTCTCCCTCTTCTGCAAGAAATCTGTCACTCCTAAGTAGATTACCTGTAACCAAATAAACCACCTGAATTTAGCAACAGCTCATATTCCAAAATCATTACTTCAATCAATCACAATAAAACCAACAATGACTATAGATAGATAAACACTAAAGACTAATACAACCACAATTTCAAGATTGCAACTTTGGCCATACAGAATTATGTGAATCTTGAAAGTTCTAGTTATTAGAATTAACCCCAATAGTGAGAATGGATAGAGCAGCAAATGCAACGAAGAGAAGGACGGATATGATGGCTCCAACTCCATCATCATTAGTGGTGGATACTATCTGCTGGGAACTCTCAAGTGGGGTTGTATCTGAAGGCAAGACTTGTTCAGGGGTGGCGTAAATTCTCCAAATTTGGGTGCTCCTTCTATGAATTTCTTTACAAGGAACAGTTCTTTTTGATGATAGAGAAGTGGATAAGGAGAGAGGTAAGGTAAAGGTCAGAGCTTTGTTGTGGCTGTGAAGAGAAGAGTGAGGATGTTTGGTCTTGGAAATGGAGAGAAGAGGTGGTGGAGGTAAAGATATTATAGAACATGATGTCATGGCCATGGGGCATCTGCGACTGCTTTGCCACTCTCTGTTCTCTCTCTCTCTGCAACGCACTGGCAAAAGATGTCAGTGCCCAAGAGAGATGGATACAGGAAGAGAAATGGGTTGATTTCATTTGTGTTCTGCCTAAATGGGCTGATGGGTTTCAAAACGTTGACACCCGTTTACTAGTCTTAAGCCAGATTGGGCCACTGGGCTTGTTTTAGTTTGCTCTAAAAGCTCATAAGTTCTTTTTTAAATGTCCAGAAGTTCAAGCTAGGTTGTCTGAAAATATTTTCCTCGACCTTGCAAAAAGCATTCCGGAAAACAAGCTTTAAAGGAAGAAAAGCGTCTAGCGTTTGAAATAAAAATTACATATCACCTCATTATTCACGTCGGCACCGCTTTTATTCTATTTGAACACAAAAAGAACTCCACTAATCTTTGTGATTGACATTCTCTAAGAAAGTTGAATCAATCAAAAGCCACACATTATCATTTTAGTGTTTGTCAAGAAATTATGGTGGCGGATTTTGGGGCAACCATATATAATGACAAATTGATTGATTTTTTTTTTCAAATTAATAATAGGTATTATTTAATACATAGAAAAAATAACTAATACGTCACCATCCATTCTAAGAATAAAAAGAAAAGGATAATTATTGTTGTCATCACCATATTATGGTAGTAATTTATCTTTCCGGGCAAATGGTTCTTTCAATTACATTAAGCCGTACACAAATATTTAGAAAGTGTAAAGGCCAACCTGCTTATGCTATCATTTTTTTTTTCCGGCTGATTCAAAAGCAAACCTCAATTACTTGAACCATAAAATTTACGAAAAATTGTATTCTCACTTAGTAACCTTCGAATTGAACCTTTATTAATTAACAATTACCAGAAACGAGTATACCGACTTACGGTAATCTTAATCCCATTCTTGAACTTAGTAACCTTCGAAAGTGTTAACTTCTTTCTTCTCTCTCTCTCTTTTTTATAATCTTAATCCCATTCTTGAACTCTATTTTTTCCTTTTAATCTTATTTTTTATATTAAATTTAAGTAAATGATTTTTTGAAAAAAATGAAGATATATCTAGTCATTCTCTTTAAGAATTAAAAATAAAAAAAAGGTGGTGATAATTTTTTTATTCAAAATATACTTTTATGGGCTTAAATTTATCTTTATGATAATAAACAAATTTTGAGTATGAAATGTGTTTATATGATAGTAAGTAAAATTTGAGTATAAAATAAAATATTTATAATATTCTTTTTGTAGATGTAAAGAGAGTTTAAGTTAAAATTAAGAAATTTATAAAATCAAAATAAGTAAATTATAGTAGGCTCTTTTGAGGTGTTATGAAATTATAAATATCATTAGAAGTTTTTAAGAGTAACCAAAACTCTCTTCGTAATAAAAATTATAAAAATTCTTTGAATTTGCTTACTCATAGAGATAAATTTAAACCCATAAATAATATTTTGGATAAAAAAATCTTTTAGCTTTATTTTTTTATTTTTAGAGAAAATGACTAGATATATCTTTACCTTTTATATAATTTTTTCCTAAATTTATTTTTAAAATTGTTAAAGAAATAAGAATAAGAAGGAAAAATAGAGTAAAGGGATGAGATTAAGGGGGAAAAAAAAAAAAAGGCAACCTCGTCAGTTTTCAAAATGAACTAAAAGACCAAATTAAGACAAAAATTAAGTATAAATGAATGAATTTAAGGAAAAATAAAATAAAAGAACATGATAAAGACAAAAAAAAAAGAATAAGAAGACTTTGATTACCGTTTATCAAGACAGAGTCCTGCTAAAAAACAAATTGTTGCTGAGGAAAACATGGATGAGATAAACACTGCAAACAGGAAATCATGGAGGAGATAAAACACTGCTAGCTGCCAAGATTATCTGATAGTTTGTTGATAGAATACTTAGAGTTCTACTTGCATTATATTTGTACGCCTATGAAGGATGTGTTAAAGTCCTAGTGATATACAAGAAAATATAATTCTCTTCCAGCTCTATCTCACGGCTTAGCTTAGAATAATTCTCTTCCGGCTCTATCCCACGTTTTAACTCCGTTAACTCGTTCTTAAAATAATGCCTAAATTTTGATTGAGAGAATCAGTTTGCATTTCAATTATTTTTTGTGGATATATATATATATATATCGCACATATACTTTTGGGATCTAACGTCTTTAATGATACTAATATCTTATATTGGCAACATATAAGTTTCAGATATCATATTTTTCTTCAAGAGGTGACTTTTCACGACAACATACATCACAACGTTAGGAATCTGAATATGAAACAAGATCTCTTGAGAGGACCAACCATGTAATTGATTTGACTAATATCATTGATGTCGTCCGTGAAAACACGAGCTTTGTGCTCTAGTTTCTAAATCCTTCAAATAGGTGGTTATGATAATATTAATATTCCATATCAATTAGGAATTGTAGATTTAAAAAGTTTACAAGCTCCAAATTAATATTGTATCATATTTATATCAACATCGTAATTTTTCACATTCCACACGCTGTAAAGCAGATGTATAAGACTGCTTTGCCACGTGATTGCTTTTTTTTTTAATCCCTAAAGAGAGGGCTGCTCAAGGAAAGAAAAAATTTTATAATATTTAAAAATTAATTGATGACATATATAGTAGTTATTTTATGAATTTATTTAGAAAAGAGAGATAGACACATAAAATTACATCTGAATTCATTAAAAATGATAAAAAAAATTTCACATTCATTTAGTTTTTTTTTTTTTGATGTATCTGTTTTTAATAAATTTATAAAATAACTATTATATATATTATCAATTATTTATAAAGTATTACAAAAATTTATGGAAGTAAAGTGGACATGACAACTTTTGCAAGTAGTTTTGCATTAACAGGATCTAACCAGCTGCAAATCACGGCAAAGATTTGTCTCCAACCATCAAATCCACGTGAACTTTTCTACTCCCATGTCTATCTTCTAAGACAAATACAGTGTCTTCGGTAGAAAAGTTTGAATTAGTTACAGATGTTCTGTATAAAGTTACAAAAAGATTGTACAGTATCACATAATTTTTTCAATAAAGTTAGGAGGAAAGTAATGTGAAAAGACTAAAGAGCATTATCAACGCTTCCTTGTTTCTTTCCATGCATGGCGCATGATTATTGGCCTTCGTACATTTTAAACTTTAATCCATTTTTTCAATTGATTTTGTTGAGTTCTTCTGTGTTTTCCAAAGATGTTTCCTTTACATTGATAAAAAATGGAAATTTTCTATATTTTTAAACTGAACTCATTTCGAATTACATTATTATTAAAAAAAAAGAGTTTAAATACTACGTACTATATAAGCGTTCTTAAACATATAAAAACTATTTTGTATGGAAAAAAAATGGAAAACAAAACAAAATATTTGAGAAATATTGGTATCTCATACATAGAAAAAGGATAATACAAGTGAAATTTTAAAAATTTATAAAGTAAATACTTCTTTTTAGCGGATATAAATCAAAGAAAAATAGTCTTGCACGTAGGACAAATAATTTTCACGTGGCATTGGTGGTGTTATCAGTTTCCCATACTCTTTGCTCATACCTTAAGCTGTTCCTCTCGCCGTCTCCTTCTCGTATAGTACTCCTTGTATATGTAAGATCTTATACGTATTAATTAAAAATCTTGAGAATATACTACTTCCCTTAAAGAATTAATCTTGCATTTTAATTAATGTAAAAATTGTACGTATAAACAAAAACGTTACGGGAAATTAATGAGAAGTTAAATTACTTCAAATCTTCGTGAATCTATTTTCAAGAAGAAGATATATGGGTATAAAAATAATAATAAAAAAATATTTGTTTCCTATTAAAAGTGATTTGAATGTTTACACTTAGGTTTAAAAATAATTTGTTTTAACTTTCTTTCTTTTATCCTTGAAATAACTATTGATTGTTATTGCTGGAAAATTAATATGAATTTTTTCAAAACCTTATATATCTCTTTCCACATATAACAAATTACGTGGTCGTAAAACAATTGTATTAATTAATAGAAAATAATACAAAAAAATAAAAAAAAACATCACAACATTGCAACCGATAGCCCGATACAGTCTTTTTCAACGATCCACCGCTCCAGCTGTACACCAACCCTCTGCTGTCTCATTGGTCCAACCCTAGAATAAACAAAAAAGTAAAAGGGTAAAGTCGGTTATAAATTAAAGGGACTCCTGAAATTACCGATACAACCTCAAAAGTGCAGTCGCTTTGCCTACTTGGCATTCAATAACCCACCTTTTCACCCCAGTAAAGTACTTTCAATCCCCAATCTACCACCGTCCATTGTTCACGTGTCTTATGTTGATTGGATATTCTCTACATCTGGCAAATAGATACGGCGAGTATTCATCTGATTCTTCTAGCTCGAAAGTGAGAAGTGTGTAGATATTTAGAGGATAAAAAATATCTGGCTAAGTCGTCCACGTTGGCACCAATGCAAGCCCCCTCCATCTGGAATATCTATCAGACAGTTGGGTTAATTGTATTTTTCATCCCTCTTCCTTTAACATCTTATAAATTTGGTACATATACTTTTATTCTTATTAAATCTACCGAAAATCTTGGTCGGTTAAAAATTTAGTTCTTCAGTATTTAATATTATATATTTTAAATTAGTTAAATTAAAGTTTTTTTATTTATTAAATTTTGTTTTTATAATTTTATGAAACTTGTCTTAAATTAAGATTAGAGGCAGAGTAGTGAAAATAAAAGAAGAAGGATTTAATTAAGAAAGTATTGATCGTATAGGGATGGAAAAATATGATTATCCCGTGAGATATTTGCACTTTTTCTCTCCCACGAAACCACCCTCAAAATCCGTTTTCCTTTCCTCCGAATCAAACAAACACACCCACCCCTCCCCTTAATCATCTCCAATTTATTCTCTGACTTCGATCCGCTTCTCTTTCGATTTCACAAAAAAAAAAAAAAAAAAAAATCCGAAAAAATTCTTCGATTTTAATCAAATTTCTTAACTACCATGGGAGAAGAAGTGAAAATGAGTGAATACGAAATGATCGGTGAAGCTAACGTCAACGGAGACGATGAAAGAATTACAGTGTGGGAGATAGGATTACCTACACCTGATGATCTCACTCCTTTATCACAGCCGTTGATTCCGCCTGAACTTGCTTCAGCCTTCAGTATCTGCCCTGAACCTCACCGTACTCCACTCGATGTCAACCGCGCTTCTCAGACCACTCTCTCCAATCTCCGCGGTCAATTAAACGCCTTATCGTCTAACAACTTCAAGTCCTTCAACGAAACGACTGGTCAAACACACGACCCTATGGTAGTCGAATTAGACGAGGATGATAATAAAACCGGAGCGGTGGATCGGGACGGGTCCGGATCCGAAGCGAGGAAGTTGAGGAGGATTGATTCTGAAGAGGCGGATTCAGCTTTAAGGACTGAGAACTCTCTGGATGACCCGTCGTCTGCGGCGGCGAGGACTTTGAAGCGGCCACGGCTGGTGTGGACCCCGCAGTTGCATAAGAGGTTTGTTGATGTGGTCGGGCACTTAGGAATTAAAAACGCGGTTCCCAAAACGATTATGCAGTTGATGAATGTTGAAGGTTTGACTCGCGAGAATGTAGCTAGTCATTTGCAGAAGTACCGGCTTTATCTGAAGAGGATGCAGGGGTTGTCGAATGAAGGACCTTCTGCTTCTGATCAGTTGTTTGCGTCCACTCCTGTGCCGCAGAGTTTGCAGGAGAGTGGCGGCGGCGGCGGATGTGGCGGTGGCGGTGGCGGTGGGAGTGGAAATGGGAATTTCGGAATGCCAGTTCCGGTGCCTTATCATCTTCCCGCCACTGCGGGCGGGATGATGCCAATGCCGGTTTTTGGACATATGGGGATGCAAATGGGGAGTAATAATGGTCATAATAATAATAATAATCACCAGCATCAGCAAGCTAATATTAAGAGTCATCAAAATGGTTATAATGGAAATGTTGCATATGGTCATATGTTTCAGCAGAGAGATTGGACTGGGAATCATTATGGTTCATACTCGCATCATCCTCATCAAGTTGCACCTAGTGATAACATGTGATCTTGGCAGGAGATATTTTTTGGCTTGATATAGAGAAAGAGAAAAAAGAGGTTAGTGCTGCCCTCGTTGGATATTAATTAGTTGTCCATTTCTATTATTGTCTGTTTGGTACTGTACTCATTAATTAGGAATGAAGCTATGATGCTTAAAATTAGAATATTACTTGGGAAAAAGCCTAATTTTGGATTACATGTTAGTATTTGGTTGTGATAAGTATGCAACTATGGAATCGGTGGAGCTTTCTTTTCATTGCTTAAAGTCACTTGTAGAACAGCTGGTTTCCACCGCAAATGCATCGCACCAGGGACCAGTGCTTTAAACTGGTTCTTTGGCCTCAAGTGCAATATTTCTTTAAGATCACAATGGATGCAATACCCAGGTTTAAGATACACCTTGTGAATTTTTTTCTCAACATCCCATTGTTTTTTCTTCGTTTTTTTTATTTTTCAGTTGATGGTATGAACATCAATTTGTCAACCGCATCAATTCTCTGTAAGTAATATATTGATGGCAATTAGCATTCATCATCAATAAGAATAGAAGATGGATGCTTTGAAACGTTATTGATGGATACATTTGTCTACTCATTTTCATCCAATCAGATGACTTGCGCTATTTACACAACAACAAAATCTCAATCTCAAGCTAGTTGGGGTCAGCTATAAATTTATCTTCACGTTTTATTGGAGTCTCATCTAGCAACCATGTTTTTTTTTTTTTTTTTTTTTTTTTTTTCCGCTGAAGGTAATTTTAGTCAGTTGAATTTCTGACCTTTTTAGCTTGCACTTTTTCCTGAATGCAACAAGAATTTCTGTGTTTTACTCGTGTTGTCAAAATAAACAGATGAGAAAAGTGAAGAGATAAAAAAATTTGTACGGCTGTTATAGGTTCTGGGTGACAACTGACAAGGAAGAAATTCCTCTCCTTTTACTCCTAAGTGTGCAGCTCAAACAATTTCACATAGAATATCCAGAAATCTGAAATTTTAAGATGCCATCACATCAGGTGGGGAGAGAAACCATGGGCATACTTTTCAATGCCATTCACGATCAAGCCTGCACAAAGACTTCCTAAAGACTGACAATTCCAGAACATTATGCTTACAGTCAGTGCATCAGCAAACCTTGTCTGATGATACTTGTTCATAACTGGTGGAGTGACAGAGTCGTATATTGATGGTCCATGTGCATCTCAGTATCAGTTTTAACCTAAAAAAATGAAGCCTTTTCACAAATAATTAATACTTGCATGATCATGATCCTTAAACTCTGAAAGAGCTTCCGTTGAAGGTTTAAAAAAAAAAAAAAAAAACTTAAGTAGATGATAACTTGTAGATACATGTTAACTTGCATCCTGGCACCGAAGTAGGCCTGTCTGTAGAGACTGGAAGGTGCATGTTGTTGCATCTGTCATCGCATCACCTTTGTCTCAAACATTTTAGGTCTGCTTCTATGTATTTTGAATGATTGTTATTGATTTGTATGTAAAATACATTTGGGTTCACAATTCTTCTTTCTTTTCCTATATTTTCCTTTGATTTTAGTTTGCATAATGTTGTTATGTGATGGTTTATGTGCAGAATGATTTAGTATGGTTAGAATTTTGCTTTCTTTTTCTATGGCACAAGTTAGGTACCCAAAAAAGAAAAAAAAAAAAAGAAACTTTTTGCAGCAAAAAGAAGGTATTTAATTTCATATTCAATGCAGTGCTTATGCTACAGTGGTAATTATTCATTTGCTTTTATTTTTCTTATATTGAGAATGAATTATAAAGCCTTATCTTGCCGACTAGTGCCATCTCTTTTGAGGTGATGTTGATGCTCTTTGATTTAGACTTGTAGTCATATCAAACGTACAGGTTTGTAGTCTACCTATGTTTCAAGAAGGTTCCCATTACAGGTTCTAAGATTTATCCCTGTTAATTGCATGCTTTCTGTTATTGGACTTTTAGCTGGCTGGCTTTAGAGGTATTGCAATTAGTATTATTTCTTTTTCTGCAGATTCTGAAGATTGAGCAACCTGGCGTACCTCTTGGAAGTTGCTGAAATTTTAGCACTTCCTTGGGGGGTTCACATTTCACAGGAAGAAATGTGTGGGGACATATCCGAGCCATGTTATCAGAGGTGATTTAGGTTCTGCATGGGTCAGGAAAACTTGCACTGCTTCTTTGAATAGATATCTAACTGTAGTTACCGGATGGCAGTAGGAACCTCACCATATTACTTAATGTTGTTTCCATAATGATAAGTCATGGCTTCCATTCTTACTTGTTCTTCAATCAATAAATGCTGAATAAATTGTGTATTATTGGATATGATAAACCTTCTTTTAGGCCTAGGTAGCAAATATATAAAGGAACACTAAGAAAATTCAGCCTGTCAGCTTACCATGCTTGTGCATTGAATGCTTTTTTACCACTCTGTCTTTGCTTCTAATCTTTATTCATTTCATGTTGTCTCGTAAGTTTATACTTATGTTCACCCTAAAAGTTGATCTTTTTTTTGAAGCCCTTCCAAATTTTGTTGGTTATGGAAAATTCTACTTTTATTTTGATGTTTTGTTATCACATTTCTTGCATCTTTTTTGTTATAGTGCCATGTTTAATTATAGTTTACTTTGATGAGGGCAATAATATATTTGATTTTCCTGATCGTGAAGTTGAGTTGTACGGATTAAATTCCTAGCTCGTAAGAATGGCACTATCTCTGAGGTGGGATTATTAACTTAAAAAGAGTCTTGTTGAATAATGGAAATATCTGAATAGGTTTGATTTAATGCTGGTTCAGGTGTGAAGTTAATGTATGAAAATAGTAATTATTGAACTAATAGGCATTTAAGCCACAGTTTCATACTATGCAACAAAAACTGCTGCTCAAGGATTCATCGAGTTGAACTTCCTATTTTGACAGAAGAAACCAGTTGTCGATGTGGATGATTGATATACAATGGCTTCAAAACAACAGGGCAGGATTACCCATGTCTTTTGATTTTTGGGAGTTTTTGAATTTGTGGGGGGTTGGCTCTGCTAAGTGCTCCATTGCTGATATCTATTGAGCTGTTTTATGTACTTCTATTTTAGGGGAAGGCTGGATATTCTGAAAGTTACCTGTCACTGGGTTTTGCTTGCTTACAGTTCATTTCTCTCTTCCTCTGTTTTTTTTTAGTAAAGCAATCCCAAAGGTCATTTTAGTTCCAGGCGTATTTGCTGTTGTTCCTTTCATTTTTATTCTGGAATGTCGATTTGGAATTGCGGCTGAATTGCTAAAAAAATTCTCATCTTAGTCTCTGCACCATGTCAGATACTATGCACAACTGAGAACTATGCACGCCCAATTTTCATGGAAACAGGCAGTGTTCGAATTTAGTCGTACAGGTCTAACCCTTTTCGGTTTTAATCAGAAGTTGGAGAATCGTTAGCGAGAACAAGATTGTAGAATTTTGTTCGAAATGTTGCCGTTAGCAATGACATGGGATGGCGAAAGGGGTGAGTGGTTTTAATCAATTTTTTTTTTCTCTTAACAAAAAATATATTTTAATTTGGGTTTTGTTGAGAAAGGGAAGAAAAAGGTGCCTCCATATCTGATGCAATAATTACCTCCTTGTTTTCCATGCTTTATATTGCCATGCAATTGTTAAGTAGTGGGTGTTTAAAACATAATATAAGCACTTTTAGTAGAGTTTTATATTACAAATCATGCTACTTTTACCAAAAAACAGCACTAGACAAAAAAATAAATTCGGGAAGTCTGTTTGTCAGTTAACTTATCTTTATCCTTGTACTATAAATAGTTACCTCGTTGTAGTTTTATGCTATCATACTTATGATAATAGGAGGATTCTAAAAAAATTGAATGTTTGAACAAATTGTTTATTTTCTCTCCGTAGTTGAATGACCTTGTGCTTGAGAAACAATTGTTGAAATTATCCAATCTATGTGTATATATATATATATAGACACACACACTTTTAATTATACATGAAATATATAGTTTTAACTTTGTAATTGTTAATTAACAAATGTAATTTTTCTTTTTGGAGAATGAAAAATATTTTTTTAAGAAAAAGTGACTTCGAAAACAAATAGATTCATGATATATATGTGTGTGTATTTTAAAGTGTCATGTAATTTGCTTTTAATTAAAGTTAATACTTTAATCAAACATTATTTTTAGACTGACATTTGTTATCCGCTAATCGATCTAGCATTTTTGTGATACTTTAACTCATATTTATTTTTCAATATTCATTTATGTCTAACAAAAATATAGATTCTTATTATATGAACTTTCTAAAACTTTTCAATTAAGTTTTGCAACTTTTATTTTTTCAATTAAGTGTCTCAATTTTTCACTTGTGATCAATTAAGTACGAAATTGGAGATATGTTATTAATGAAATTGACTTGGACCTTAAATCCAAAAATAACATTACACTTCCAAAATCAAAGATAACTACTAGTATACAGAAAGTAATCTTTTGTTCTAAATGCTGCCGGTAGCAGTCACATGGCATGAAGAAAGGAGGGTGAGTGGTTTTAATCAAAAGTATTTTTTTTAAAGCAAATTCTCTTAAAAGTTGATAAAGAGCGCAACTTGCCCACGAATTAAAGAAACTTTAGGAGAGGATAACGTATGAAGCACTTTATGGCATGAGACATTCGTAATTGAAAAATGGAATGTTGTAGGGGTATATTGCTTTTCATTATGCTAGATTTTCGCAAATATATTATTCAATTGTTTTTCGGCATTTTTTTAATAATATTTAACAAATTATTTTCATTTATATATAATAACTATTTTAGCATTTATTAAACTGAAATTTTGTTTTTTTTTTTAAATCTAAACAGTGTTATATAAAGCTATATAATTTGTATTTAAATTAGTTTGTTTAATTTTTAAAACACGTGAATAAAATTTAATTACATTGAAATAAAAGTTATAGACATAAAATAGTTAATATTTAGGATACATATGTGTATGTCGTATGTATGTGTATGACTGTTTATAATTAGATCTTTTAAAAATAATGATCATAAAAAAAATTCGCATAATTTGTTTACCTTTATAGTTAGAAATTAAAAATATTATTTCGTTATCATATGTTCTTATAAAAAAGATTCGACAATAGAAAAAATAAAAAGAAAAAAAATTCATTATCTATTAGAATAATATGAATAGTTGTTTAATTAAAAAACTAAAACATTATTTTTGTCATTTTATTTTAAAATTTAAATTGTATGATAAAAATAAAAATCTATAAATATTTCTGTTAACAATCACATGCCATGACGAAAGGAGGGTGGGTGGGTCATGGGTGTATTTAATCAAAAAGGTTTTTTTTTTTTTTCCTGAACAAATTCTTTTAAAAGTTGATGGGGGAGAATCTGGTAAAAGATCTGAAGAATAAAGAGAGGTAATAGCGTCCACGAATAAAAGAAACTTTGGTAAAGGATACCGAAGGAAGCACTTTATGTGCCCACGAATATATTGCTTTGCATTATATTGCCTTAAAAAGAAAAAAACTCATTTCCTTATTTTGAATAATAACTGAGGCAACTACGAAAGCCAAACCACTGTGTCATGACTTTGTTTTTCTGGTAGAAAGGACCTAAAAGAGGCAATTGGTTTAGATTATTTCCTTCTATTCTCTGCTTTGACGGTTGCAATAAAGCTAAGAGCTCTTACATGCATGGATATCTGCCAAAGAAGCATTTAACCGGCGGGACTAACAAATGTTGACCAATAACAAAATGCAAACAAAATTAGGGTTTTTAGATCAATCAAAAGCAAAAATAGTCAAGCATTAATGATCAAATAATTATTGCCTTTGACAAATATTTAATAGCATAGCATCACACTATCACGCAAGTTGCCAAAAAAGTTAATTGTACTCCCCATGATTATAATGGTAGGAAAGAAGTAAGAGGTTCCCCTCTGCATCGAAATAATAGGCTAATCATGGCCGTTCCACTGAATTTTTTTTCTCATTTGCAGCAAGTTCAGAACCTTTCAGACTACGTAGAAAGAACCTTACGACTTCCATTCTTCAAAATTAAACCCTTGCATATGGCCGCCTATTCCTACTATCAGTGTCTTAACATTCTTCAGCTCAAAAACTTATCCATGACTGGGAAAATGGAAGAAAAACAGTCTGGCCATAATTTCCAGTTACAAGGTTCCATTTCATATACTAGGGTATCGAAATCCACTGGATCTATCTGTCATATCAAATCCTTTCTTTTTCTTCTAATATGTTGGCTCTAGGATCCAAAATTCCAAAGCCATATTCCAAAAGCAACTACTTGACTGGATCGTTTGTTCAACGGATCGGATTAGCCTTCGGAGTCTGTCATGATAGAAGTAGTCAATATTGATACAAGAACTGCAAATGTAGCCATTTTAAAGAGCACCAGTGGATGCAAGACGCAAAATCCAAATATCCCCAAATGCAGGAGTTATAAAAGAGAGCAATAGCTCTTCTAATCATGTTGACATATCAGCTGGCTGCCTCTATCCAACTGCACCCAGGAAGCTTTTTCAGCCTTTTTCTCTTCAGCATCTTCTTAGACCTCGATACATTCTCCCAACTGCCAGCATCAGCATATAAATTTGACACAAGCATATTGTTGCCGGCATTCCCAGGTTCAAGCTCAGCCAAATGCCTAGCTGCTATCTCAGCAAGACCAATATACCCATGATTCCTACATGCCCCCAATAGTGCTCCCCATACGAATAAATCAGGCTCAACAGGCATCGTCTTAATCATATCATAAGCCTCATTAAGATTTCCAGCCCTACCAAGAAGATCCACCATGCATGCATAATGCTCTAATCTTGGAACAATCTTGTACTTCTGTTGCATCAAGCGAAACAAACTTTGTCCATGTCCAACCATTCCAGCATGACTACAAGCAGTGAGGACAGCTGTGAAAGTCAAGTGATCAAGCTTCTTTCCTTCTGATTTCTCCATTTGATTAAAAAGCTCAATTGCTGCATCACAATAACCATGATTCGCAAACCCAAAAATCATTGAATTCCAAGTAACTGTATTCCTCTCAGGCATCCTATAAAATAGCATCTTTGCTTCAGATATAAAACCGCATTTGGCATACATGTCAACAAGAGCACTTCTTACATAAATATCATCTTCAACTCCAATCACCACTGCATAGCCATGTGCCTCCCTCCCACGCCTTACATTAGCCACAGTCGCACAAGCAGCCAAAACAGTACTAATTGTAGCAGAGGTTGGATAAAACCCCCGTCCCAACATCCATTTAAACGTATCAAGAGCTGCCTCATTACGAAAATTTTGCACTAACCCTGATATAACCGATGTCCAAGAAACCACATCAGGCTCTACTCCGTTACTCATCATCAATTCAAACGTCTTTGAAACCATTGCACCGTCACCCTTTTGTGCAAACCCCGAAATTAAGCTATTCCAAGTTATTAGATTAGGCTTAATACCCAATTTTTCCATTTGCTTCATCAAAGCAAATCCTTCTTTAGCAAAACCATGTTGAACATAACCTGAAAGCATGGCATTCAAAGCCACCAAGTCTTTCTCCACCATCTTATCAAACACTCGCCGCCCCTTTTCAACTTCTCCACATTTAGAGTACATATCAATCAATGAACTAATGACATAAACATCCGAATCAATGGAATACCTCAAAATCACAGAGTGCAAAATGCTCCCAGTTTGCACATCATACACATGACCACAACACTTGAGTACACTAGGAATAACAAACTTATTGGGTCCTAAACCCTGTTTTTGCATTTCAGAGAAAACATTCAAAGCTTCTTGATAAAACCCACGACGAGAATAGGCCCCAATTAGCACAATCCAACGGCGGATATTTGAGTCGGGAATTTGGTCGAACAGTTTGCGAGCGTCCAATAACTGCTTGGTTTCTGCATAGAAAGAAATGAGTTTGGCTGCAAAATGGGTCAAACGAGCTAAACCATTAATGATGAGATGGGCGTGGAGTTTTTTTCCTTGCTCTAATGCTTGATCACGACCGTAAGTTTCGATGAGTTGAGAATAAGTTTCTGATGATGATCGAAATGAACGGTGGGATATGATTATGACGGGGAGCTTATGGTGGGATTTAAATAGTGTTAAAGTTCCCTTGAATTGGTAGCGGGAAAGAAGCAGGCACATTTCAGATTTCTCTTCAGCTTCCCAAATTCCACTTCCAGTTCATTTCTTTCTCCTTCAGGCACTGGAGTGGAGGATTCTTATTTACAATAACCGACGTGTCGTGTACTGGGATGAGAGCAGAAGATATTTATATTTTTCTAACAATTTGAAAGGGGGACATAATCAACTTCTTTCTCATACATGCATAACTTAATCTACAAAACCATATCAATTCCGACATTTGTTTAACAATTAAAGTTTTATTTTTATTTTTTTAAAAAAAGAATGAAATGATTTTTATATAATAATAATAATATGTAATTAAGGTCAAAGATTAACTAGGATGAGGTTCTGTTTTCCATGTCTAAGCTCAAATATCAATACAAAAGACAAACCAGAGGAAACTTCTTAGGAAATGTTAAAGCACGACATGAGAGTAGATATGAAGTAAATAGTAGATGAAAAGATACTAAATCAAATCAAACCAATATTTCTCTAATTCTTTTCTATATATATATATATATTGCTCTAACCACCTTAAGAGGGAGCTTGCCGTTTAGATTCCTTAAAAAAGAATAAAACCTAAATTTAAAAAAAAACTGCAATAATTAATATTTAGATTGCGACATTAGATAATGTAACTCTAATACACATGTTAGTTACCCACAATAAATTTAATTAATAGATTTGAAGGCTTTTTTTTTTTTTTAATCTTGACATCAACATTCAAAAGATTTTTTTTTAATATAATATATCGATATAAATATATATATCAAAATTATTTGAAAAAAACTTAACTAACATGCAAGTTGGATCTAAAATACCTCTCAATATGGAGGGGAAAAAAAACCCTTAACAAATGTGGAAGTCACAATTTAGAAAAAAAATAACTAAGAAAGTGTAATCACTTATGAACTTTAAGTTATTTGAAGTTAAAATCTTTTTATTAGTTTTGTAGATTTCTAATTTTTTTTTAAAAAATTTAGCATCCCTTTCAGTTTTTTGTTATTTATCTCAAAAATAACAATTACATAAATAATTTCATGACAAAAATCATTCAGTTAGATTTATATGAAGCTCTTAAAAAAATTTAGATTCATTTTAGAATTATTTTTTATTTTAGATTTTTTATTTTTAATGTTTTAAATTAAAAATTAAAAATATAGTTTTTTATTTTAAAAAATTCTAGAATTTTTTTACAAAATGTATTAAATTTTTTCCAACATACAAATTTTAGTTCAAAATACCAATAACTGAATTTTTTAGGAGAGAAGATAATAACTGAAAATCCTAGAATTTTTTTACAAAATTTATTAAATTTTTTCCAGCATATAAATTTTAGTTCAAAATACCAAGAACTGAATGTTTTAGAAGAGAAGATAATAACTGAAAATCATTACTGGGATAAATTTCATAAAAATTAAAGTTCAGAAATCTCTAAAATTAACCAAAAAAAAAAAAAAATTGAGAAACTAAATCTCAAACAACTTAAAATCCAGAAATGATTAAATCCTAGCAGAAAAAAATAACGATGAGCCTCAAATTGCACTGAAATAGATTTTGGGCTTGAAGATGGACAAAGACAGACCTTAAGCTGAAAATCAGCTGGGTTTTCATTTCGCTTTTGAACGAACGAAGGCAATGAGCTTGTGTTGCTCCGCTTCTCACCTACGGAAATTGAAAGTATCCAGAACCGCCAATCACCTGCTTTCGCGCGGTCTAACAACCCACAATCACCATGAGGAACACAGTAACAGCCACACCTTCAACGACAACCAGAAAACACCAAACCCAGCTGATTGGGACCTCATTGCTGTATTAACACGACCTGGCTCTCTATCTAATTCCTACTTTCTCAACAAAATCGTGTCGGTTTGTGCCAAATCCGGTTCTCTCCATTTGGGCATTCAAGTCCACTCAACTATTCTCAAATTGGGTTTTACGTCAAACGTGTATATCTGTAGTGCCGTTGTTGATATGTACGCAAAATGCGGCGAAATTTCAAGTGCACAAATATTGTTTGATCAAATGCCTCAAAGAACTGTTGTTACGTGGAATTCGTTGATTGTTGGGTATATGACTGTCAATTGTCCGAAAATAGCCATTGAAGTGTTTATTAAGATGTTAAAAGCCGGTGAAAATGTGACAGCGTTTAGTGTTTCGAGTTGTCTGGCTGGTTGCTCGAAATTAGAGGTCAGAAAACTTGGGGCTCAGGTTCATGGGCTAAGTTTGAAAACTGGATTGTGTTATAATGTTGTTGTGGGAACGGGTTTAGTTGATATGTACTCAAAGTGTGGCGATGTTGATGATTCTAGGCGGGTTTTTGATCATATGGTGAATAGGAATGTAATTACCTGGACTTCTATGGTTACTGGGTATTCACAGATGGAAAAACCCGATGAAGCAATTGTTTTGGTTAGAGAAATGGTGCGTCAGGATCTCAGGCCAAATTGTGTAACCTATAATAGCTTGCTAAGTTCATTTTCTGGTCCTGATTGTTTAAGTTATTGCCTGCAAATTCATTGTTGTATAATTCATTTAGGTTTAGAGTCTAATGTATATATAGCAGCTACTCTGGTGACTGTGTATTCAAAGTGTAGTAGTAGCTTAGAGGACTTCAAGAAGGTGTGCTCAGTTGTTACGTCACGTGACCATATAGCTTGGAATGCAGTCATTGCTGGTTACTCTAAATTAGGGCATCATGAGGAAGCTCTCAGATGTTTCTGTGAAATGAAGCAAGCCCGTATTGATGTAGACTCTTACACGTTAACAAGTGTGGTAGGAGCAATTGGGAATAGTTCATCCCTTGAAGAGGGAAAGGCAATGCATTCTCTCATTTACAGAACCGGCTATATTTCACATGTGAATGTTCAAAACGGGCTTGTTTCCATGTATGCGAGATGTGGAGCTATAAGTGATTCAAAGAGGGTCTTTTGGTTCATGGAGGAACATGATCTGATCTCATGGAATGCACTTCTAACAGCATGTGCTCATCATGGATATGGCAGAGAAGCTGTGGAATTGTTTGAACAAATGAGGAAAACTGAAATCAAGCCGAATAGTTCAACCTTCCTTGCTGTGTTGTGTGCTTGTAGCCATGTTGGTTTTGTGGATAAGGGACTTGAGTATTTTGACATGATGAAAAGTGATATTCTGCTAGAACCCCCTATGGTAGAGCATTATGCCTGTCTTGTAGATATTTTTGGTCGAGCTGGGCATCTTAATGAGGCGGAAGCCTTCATTAGTAGCATGCCTCTAATACCAGCGCCCTCAGTCTACAAAGCTCTTCTTAGTGCTTGTCTGGTTCATGGAAATAGAGAGATTGCTGCACGTTCTGCAAAAAAGCTTCAGGAGCTTTGGCCTAATGATCCAGCGACATATGTACTGCTATCCAGTGTATTGACTATGGAGGGTAATTGGGACGATGCTGCAGATTTACGGAAATTGATGTGTGATAGAAGGCTAAGGAAGAAGCCTGGTTATAGTTGGACTTGATAGAACAGATGCCTGGCCTTTTTGTTGCAATATCCAGCCCAGTGTCATCGCAGTGGAATAGGTAGCTGGTCTTGAACAGTCATTGTCGGGCAGTGGCTGACAGAACTCCTTGACTGGTTTTCTTTTAGCATAAAGGAGTGATCGCTATTTGGGTGAGAAAAATTGGTAAGAAATTTTCCGTTAAGCCTCATTTTAAATCACTTGGTATAATTTCTTCACTATATTATTGAGAATGCATAATAGAGTTTGCAAATCTGCAATCATAATTGGCTTAGATACGGGGCAGGAAATAGTGATTTGTCATAATTTACTGTATGTAGTTTGTGTTTTCTGGGCAGGATGATAGATTTACTTTTGACAGTTCTCAAATCAATTGTCTGAAGGGATGGGTCAGGGTTACAGATATCAAGTCTATTCTTTTGATCCAGTCATCAAGGAGAGTGCGGGTGGATGAGTCTGCATGATGAGCTATGAGAATGGGAGGAAGAAATAACTTGATGCACTGCTCGTAACCAAACTACTAGCCACTAGTTTGTTGTGCTCTCAGATTTGCCCTCCATCAGAACAAAAGCATAACCACGAAATGCACGGTGCCCCTTGAAATACCAAAATAGCCAGGGGTGTCACTACACATTCTGGCAGGGTGCGAGCCACCCCCTCTTGCTTTTTGAAAGTTATTTTGACCCCTATATTTAAGGTTTCTTTCAATTACGCCCCACCCAAAGTTTGCTTTTTTTTTTTTTTTTTGTTATCTGCCACTGAAGATAGTCATCGTTTGTTCTACTCCAGTTATGAGATCCAAATAGTCAAAGCATCATGAAGGTAAAAACTTGATATGGAAACTGATAAAATAGAAGAGATTTTCTATAAAAAAATTTCTATATCATTTTATTAAAAGATTTACAATATATAAGCATCAAGAGTACATCAGATCCCTTAACTTAGGGTTTAATTTCAGCAAAAATGTACAGAGTCAAATAAATATTCTATAGCAAAAATCGAGAGATTTTCAGTTACAAAAGTGTGTTAAGGATTTTCAACTACAAAAATATGCTAAATAAGAAAACAATAATAATATGATTATATTGATATTGCCTCTCAAATTGATGCGGGTAAGTTCATTGGCATCAATTTGGTTTTAAGATACTTATATTGCTTGTGAGTCAAAGTTTTGGTGAAGACATCAACTATTTTAAAATCAATAGTAATACGAGGAAGAGTGATAATACAACAATCAAAGGCGTCCCGAATATAATGATAATTTATTTCTATATGTTTTGAGCATTCATGATAAATTAGATTGATAGTTATCTGAATGACATTAGTGTTATCATATGAAGTGGAGTAGGATCACCTTATCTTCTTATTTGATCGAAAGTTTTCCTTTTTATAGTGATCGAAACTTTTAGTCCTCTATCTAATTTATTTTGTTATTTATTTAGGTTGGATTTTATTTATTTGGATTATTTTTAATTGTATGGACTTGGGCTACTATTAGTCGTTATGGTTTTTAGATTTCCTATTTAAATTAGGACATGACTGAATGTTTAGTTTAGGTGGATGATTGGATCCTTGTGTGTTATAAATCCTTATTTATTTAGGAGTTTTTATTTATTTATGAATCCATGTAATATATGGATTCATATTTAATTAGGATGAATTATTAAGTTCTAATTAAACATGGATGACATAAGTCTAAGTCTAATTAGATAAAGAGTTCTAATTACGAAAAGAGGCAAATTAGGCCTAGGAGAGGAAACTTAACCCTAGCCAGACACTTTTAGGTTTTAGGGTTGAGTATTTAAGCATATTTTGTGCTTCTTTTTTAGTAGACTTTGATAAACTTTTGAATGAAAAATTGGAGAATTTTTTTTCAACTTCTTTGCCTATTTTCTTTGCTTGGATTGGTTAGAACTTTGTGAAACACATATTTGGTCGACTAAGGTGGGTTCGGATCAACAATTGAATCACGTGGACTCTTAGCGAATGTATCTCGTAAGTACTCTCTAAATCAATTTGGGTGGATGATTCTTTTCAAGGGTGAGACATTGGAGCTTGCATTTATTTTGTTTGATTGTTAAATTGTAGTCTAACCTAGTTTTTAAGACTAAGCAATTTTGGTCTCAAAGATGATAACTTAGGCTAGAGATTTTTGTTTGCTTTGAAATTTTGACGGTCTTTAGTTAAGGGGTTGATTTAGCTCCTCGCCAAAAAAAAAAATTAGAAATAACAAAATATTTGATTAGGTTTTGGGGGGGGTGTTGAAATCATTATAAATTTTAGAATTTATTCTATCCAAAATTTCAACTTGTTAAAAAAAAAGGGTTATAAGGTTTGAATTCACCTAAAATCGACATACACATGCTTTTGGACATTATCTACGTTGTGGTAAAGTTTCGGTTAGTTCTAATTTAATTGCTTAGGTAACACATTACCCCTAGATTCGGGTTTTGTGTGTGTTCTTTGGAGATTGTGGGATTTTTACTTGTGTTTGTGCTTGAGATTTTAATTGATTGTGTATTGACTTGTGATTTTATGTTGGTTGAGGATTGTTTGGAGTAGATTTAAGGTCTATTTATAGCTAGAGTATTTTGGCCTAGGTTTATTTACTTGATGTTTATGTATTTAAACTTTTGCGGGGTTTGACATCTCTCGATCCGACATCTTCTAAGTTTAGAAAGAAGACTATGTAACCACATAACTTTAGAACAAGCTGCAGACATGACTCTATATTCAGCTTGTGTGGAAGATTTAAAGACATAATCTTGCTTCTTACAATCCTTAAAAATCAAGGCATCTCTAAGAAACACGTTCCAATCGGTTGTAAATTTCCTATTATTTGGGCATCCAACCAAATCCGCATCACTATATGTAGTCAAGTGAAGAGAAGATCTTGTAGGAAATAACAATCTACAAATAGGTGATCTAATTATATATTGAATAATGCGCCAACCGTAGTAAGATGAAGATGTCGAGGTGATTGCATAAATCCGCTAACCGTATGGACGACATACAAAATATCGAGCCTTGTAATAGTTAGTAAGATAAGACTACCAATTAGTCACCAATAAAGAAAGAGATCGAGTAGATTAGGCGGAATGTGGCACCTCGGCTCCCTTGTCGATTACCTAAAAGGCTTGATCGGGTGCACTACGGTTTAGAGATCGAAGTCTCAAATTTAATCCCATACACGCACCCAATGTATCGAATATCATCACAAAAATTTTAAAATGTAATTTACAAGCAAAGGTAGATCCTATAAAAAAATTTTCTTTTCGAGTCACACATGAGCCTTTTTCCGGAGGAACCGAGCAGTTTCATTATCAACATTAGTATCATCTTTATCTCGTCAAGGTATGAAATAAACATAGAGTGAGTCGAAGCTCGGTAAATAGGGTGATGCACGTGATATGCAATGATCTTCCGAATTCCCCCACTTCGACTCATCAAATTTTATTTTCGAGTACCCCAGGTATTAGCAAGTCTATTCTATATTTAATCTAGGTGAACTACAACTCACCTTCTGCTACAATGAAATTATCCCTCGTTGTAGCCACCGTTAGAGAAAATCTATCGTCTAACAGATGCGAGCATACAATTTAGAGTACGCACATACTGGATCGCTAATATACCTTTTATCCGGTAGGTTACCAAACCTATCCAATTTTCATTCGATTCGGTTACCAAACCTTATCGTTTTTGACTTAATGATTTTTCTCAATTTAATCTATTCCAACATGTATATGATGCACGTGATGTATCACGAACCACATTCCACTAAGTCATGGGTACTAAACTCGTCGATTCCGTACCATTGAGTTCATACAAGGAATTCAAGACCCGTCTAATAGGGTTAATCCATTTCATGTATCATAAACCATATTCCATATCTCATAGATCTGAAAGAATTGTGAATGATCAAAAGCATACATGATGTTTATTGAAGATCTCTATTTATATGTTTTACGAGACGGACTCGAATAGAACTCTAGTTTGCAGAGACTATGTAGCATACATATATCTAAGTACATCTCCTAGCAATAGTGGGATACATTATTGGATATACATGAAGTGAAATGTTGTACAAAAGATCTATTACTTGGATATATACGATTTAAGCTTTAAGGGTAGACACGGCGAGTGTGGTATCCTTATCATCCACCCTCGAGTCGAGCAATGGTGCGCAATGTCGACTTGTCCCGTAAGAGTAGGTATTGCCATTTGGATAAAGCTTTGGTTAGAACATCCGCGATTTGGTCTTTGGTTGAGATGAAGGTTACTATTAGTTCCTTCTTCTTCACCTTATCTCCGACGAAGTGAAAGTCAATTTCCAAGTGTTTGGATCAAACATGAAACACAAGATTTGCGAGCAAGATAAGTGGCTAAGATGTTGTCACACCAAATGATAGGAGCCATAGGAATTGTAATTCCTATCTCTTTCGGGAGTGATTGTCTCTAAGTGATCTCTCGAAGTCGTGGTTGTAAGTGCACGATATTCGCGTCCGTGGATGATCGTGCGATGGTTACGTTGCTTTTTGCTGCACCGGAAAACCAGATTATTACCCAAATAAATAGCATCACCGGTTATGCTCTTTCGATCATCCACATCACCACCCCGGCTTGTATCGGTGTATGCATTAATTTGTAGAGAAGTGGCCGGTCGAATGTGTAGACCATGATTAGGTGTGGATCCAAGATAACAAAGAATTCTCTTCACTGCGGACCAATGCTCGGTGATTGGATCGTGCATAAATTGGGCAACTTTGTTTACTGCAAAAGAGATATCGGGGTGTGTTAAGGCCGGATATTGAAGTCCTCCTACAATGCTACGGAATAGGGTGGGATTGTCAAATTACGTCCCCGCATTCAACAACTTGATCGATGCACATGCTGAAGTTGAAATGGAACTAGCCTCATGCATATTTACCTTTTGTAGGATGTCTCCGATATATTTGGATTGTGTTAAGATCGATCCCTCTTTTCTCCAATGAGCTTCAATT